AAAAAAAACATGAATAAATACAGGTCAATATGCAGCTATAGAAGTGTAAAATATGACATTCTTGGTTAAAAAAAATAAAAATAAAATTAAAGTGTGTTTTCCTCTCATTGTGTCACTTTTTTTGTTTCCAAAGTTCCTCAGGTTCGCCCCCCGCCGCCCCCCATCATGCGACCAGCCTTTGTTCCACATATCTTACAAAGACCTGGTAGGCTCCTTACTGCTTTACTCATTTAACTGTCCGGGGGTTGGGGGGGTCAGTCACTGTGCGAGGGGGGTTAGGGTTAGACCCTGGACAGGTCCACATAAAGACAATCAATCATTCCCACTCTGACTCACACTTAAAGACAATGTAAATTTACTAACTAACCTAACATGAAGTATTCTTTAAAAGTTTTTTTTTCTCAACAGGTGGTCCGAGGATACCAGTGATGCGCAGTCTTCCAGTTGCACCCCCGTTACCACGGCCTCCCCCTCCTCCCCCCATGATGGTCCCTCCGTCCCTGCCGAGCCCAATTCTTCAGGCGTCCTCTCAGCCCATGCAGCACATGGCAGCTTCTCCTCAGGTGAGAGCTGGAGCAGGAAACATTCATTAAACCACGTGTCTGTGAGGAGTGGTGTATTAGCTCCTTATGGTGACATTAATTTCTACAAGAAATATCCTATTTTCTCGTGTGCACTGAATGTGTTGTAGGTTGGTGATATTGTCCCAATGGGGTCGTCTACGTCTTCAAGACTGCCGATCAAGCCGACACCTTCAATCATCCAGGCAGCTCCAACTGTGTACTCTGCTCTTCCTGTGACTGTTGCCCATAAAAAACCTGACTATCAGGCTCAGAGACAAGCTAGAATGGTATCTGCGTTTTTCTCATCGTATCTTTCTCTAATATATTCACATTATTCTCTTAAAGTCTTTATTGTGGCTTCACACGACAAGTTTCTGAGCTGATGCGAGCGTGTCGCGTGTCTCTTCCAGGAGGAGCTGGCAGCGCGGGTTGCAAAGCAGCAGGCTGCAGTGATGGCAGCAGGTCTGCTCGACAAGAAGGAGAGCGAGGAGAGCTCTGTCATTGGTCCAAGCATGCCCGAGCCCGAGCCCCCCCCACATCGAGGTGACCGTAGGTGTCTCTCTGCTCCATCCTGGAAGTCAGTGGGCTGGGAACGTTTGAAGTCAGTGGGATTATTGGGCAGGATGATGGAATATTTTCCTCTGTTTTTATTGAACATATTGAAGAGGGTGTGTGCATCCTCCACACAGACCTGCAGCTATCAGCTTACATCTGAGTCTAAAAGCAGAAGCATTAAAAAGGATAAGGGCGACTTCCGGATCGGACCACCATCACGATGGTCGCATAGAGAGAGAGCTCCTGGTTGAACCGGAATAATTAGAGAAATTCCCCCCTTATAACTCAAGCAAATATACCAATATAATAACTTAAAAGGGTGGGTATGATCATACTGTACCACTACGAGAAATAAACGCCAACAGAAATCAGGTGAGCGAGAGAGAAGAGACGCAACAATTGGCAGCTAGCGGATTGAAGCTAACAAACCACGAGGAGCAGCGTCTAAGGATGACCGACACCGAACTGATCTTGCAAGAACTAAAAGGGTTTCGCCAAGAAAATAAAGAACATTTTGAGATGATAAAAGAAGAAATCGCGAAGGTGAACACCAGGATGGAGGAGGTGGAGGGGCGTATGGAGAAGGCAGAAGAAAGGATCCTAAATACGGAGGAGGTCATTACGGCTATGCTAAAGCTACACGCTAAGCTGGAGGATAAATTGACGGATCTGGAG